ATCACAAGGACAGAAAACCAAACACTGCATGTTCTCACTCATAGGTGGGAATTGAACAATGAGAACACTTGGACACAGGAAGGGGAACATGACACCAGGGCCTGTTGTGGGGTGGGGGGAGGTGGGAGGGTTAGCATTAGGAGATCTACCTAATGTAAATGATGAATTAGCGGGTGCACCCATTAACTCATCATGGCACCTGTATACATATGTACCAACCAATATGGCACATGTATACATATGTAACATGGCACATGTATACATATATAACAAACCTGTACCTTGTACACATGTACCCTAGAACTTAAAGTATAATAAAAAAAATTAAACATCCTCTGAGCTCCACCCGTTCATCCCTGCCTGCCCCAATCACTGGAAGCCACTGATCTTTTTACTGCCTCTGTAGTTTTGCCTTTTCCAGAATGTCCTAGGGTTGGAATCCTGTAGGATGTAGCCTTTTCAGAATGGCTTCTTTCACTTAGCAATATATGTTGAAGGTTCCTCCATGTCTTTTCATGGCTTGATAGGTCATCTCTTTTTAGTGTTGAATAATAGTTCATCGTCTGGATGTCCCACAGTTTCTTTATCCATCTACCCACTGAAGGACGTCTTGATTACTTCCAGGTTTTGGCAGTTGTGAATAAAGTTGCTATAAACATCTGTGTACAGATTTTGCATGGGCATAAGTTTTTAGCTCCTTTGGATAAGTACGGAGGAGCACAATTGCCAGATCATATGCTACGAATATGATTTGTTTTGTAAGAAACCATCAAACTGTCTCCCAATGTGGATGAACCACTTTGCATTCCCGTCGGGAGCGAATGGGAGTTCCTGTTGCTCCACATCCTCGGCAGCATTTGTTGGTGTCATTGTTGTTTATTTTTGCCGTGCTAATAGGTGTGCAGTGACGTCTCGTTGATGTCTTAATTTGCATTCTCTGTGACATACGATGTGAAGCGTTTTGCCATATGTAGATTCACCCTCTGTAAATCTTTTGTGAAGTGTCTTTCCAGGTCTTCTGCCCATTTTTTAATCTTGTTCATTTTCTTGTTGAGTTTTGAAGTTTTTTGTGCATTTTGATGTTAACAATCCTTTGTCAGATGTGTCTTTTGCAACTATTTTCCATCAGTCAATGGCTTCTCATCTTGTTGACATTGCCTTTCACAAAGCAGAAGTTTTAAATGTTAATGAAGTTTTTTCGGATCTTGTCTTTAGTGTGGTGTCTAAGAAGTTATTGTCAGACCCAAGGTCTTCTAGATTTTCTCCTATGTTTTCTAGGACTTAAGGTTTTGCATTTTACACTTAGGTCCATGATCCATTTGGGGTTAATTTTTGTGAATGGTGGTGCCAGGTCTGCACCTAGATGAATGTTCTGCCTGTGGATGCTGAGTGGTTTAGCAGCACTTGTTGAAAAGATGCTTCTTTGCCTCACAGTCACATTGTCAATGATGTATGTGTATACACTGAAATATGTAGTACAGGTATTCTGGATACAAGTCCTTATCACGTGATTTACAAATATGCTCTCTCAGTGTACAGCTGGTTTTTTTGTTCTACCAGTGTCTTTTGAGAAGCAGAAGTAGAAATTTTTTTATAGTCCAATTTGTTAATTTTTTCCTGTTACGGATCTTGCTTTTGGTGTTGTACCTAAGAAATCTTTGCTTGGTCCAAGGTTCTAATAGTTTTCCTTTTATTACTTTTATGTTTTACATTTGAACATTCGAGTCTGTGATCTTTTTTGTGCTGATGTTTGCACATGGTGTGGGGTATGCATCCTGTGTGTATCTGTTGCAGCACCCCACATGTCTGGGCTCTTGTATTGACTGCCCGTGCACATGGGTGTTGATCTCTGGAATGTGTGTTTTATTCCCTTGATTATTTGTCTGATTTGATGCTGACACTACAGTGTCTTAATCACTGTAATGTTATAGTAAGTCTTAAAGTAGGTATGGAACCTCCAGCTTTGTTATGGCCCTTCTAAATGTTTTGCATTTGTATATGAATTTTAGAATCATCATTACAATTTTTCAGAAAGTCCTGTTGGTGTTTTTATTGGGATTGCATTGATTCTGTAAATTCACTCGAGAAGAATTTACCCATTTTACCAATGTTAAGTTTTGCAACCCACAGGCACAGACTATGTCTTTATGTAGGTCTTTAAAACGTTCGCTTGGCAGTGTTTTGCAGTTTTCAGCATATGAGTCTTTGATGATCTTTTGTCAGATTAAGATACAAAAAATTAAATTACAGTCATGCCCCAGTTACCTTTCTTGTAGAGTGAGCTTTCGTGGCTTATGTCTTTTTTTTTTTTTTTTTTTTTGAGGTTTAGCTTTTTTTTCCTGCTCTGGGGGGCAGTGGCCGGATCTCAGCTCACTGCAAGCTCCGCCTCCCGGGTTTACGCCATTCTCCTGCCTCAGCCTCCTGAGTAGCTGGGACTACAGGCGCCCGCCACCTCACCCGGCTAGTTTTTTGTATTTTTTAGTAGAGAGGGGGTTTCACCGTGTTAGCCAGTATGTTCTCGAACTCCTGACCTCGTGATCCGCCCGTCTCAGCCTCCCAAAGTGCTGGGATTACAGGCTTGAGCCACCGAGCCTGGCATGTCTTTTAAGGAATGTTTCTGTTTCACGTAATTTATTAGTGTGAACTTTTTCATAATATTCCATTGTTACCTTTTTCCTGTTGATGGAACCTGTAATGATGTTGCCACTTTCATCTTGATGCTGGTAATTTGTATCTTTGCGACAGTGGGCACCTCTGAGCCCTAATTGTCAGCATTACTTGCTGTAACTCGGATCTGTGCATTGCATAGTTTCATAGATGTGACACCAAAACACAATTTATGTAAAAACTGGCAAAATCTGAATTAGGTCTATTACCGCAGTCACATGAGCGTCCTAATGTAAACAATGCATGACTGTTAGGTAAGAGATGATCATCAGGGAGCCAGGGAAGGGCACACAGAAACAAGTTATAAGACAAGATTATTTCACTTTAGGTACTTGTGGAAAGGAGAAAGCCATTAACCCTGTATTTTTGTCTGCTTTTAGTGCTTGAGCTGTTTAGAACCTTTGTTTCATAGTGTTACATACATCGTGGCTCTTGCAGGATTTTAAATGTCCGTATTCCTTAGTTTTGAAAACTAACATGTGAGATTGGTTTAAAACCTTTGGATTGTGTTAGACTAGCAAAAGTTTTGACAGTTTGCCCATTATTTGTAGGTTTCTTTAGCGTATTTAGTAATAGAGTAATAGAATGTAACACGTTCCACTGGCATATCACATTTTAATATTTTTGTTTTACCATTGATTTTTCTTCTCTTTATAGCTTTACCTTTAGTCCAAGTGGATGAAAAGGGAGAGAAAGTAAGGCCAAATCAGAATCGCTGCATAGTAATATTGCGTGAAATACCTGAATCTACCCCTGTGGAAGTAAGTACTTTCTCCTCTGAAGGTTACTTGGACATTTTCCCAAAGGTCTTTGTTGGTTTTGATTTTTTTTACTTTTGTGTGTTTTTTTGGGCTGTATGTTTTTTAGACTGAATACTTACATTAACACTGTTTTCCCAGGGTTTACACACACTGAGTTACAGAGTAGGAGGGAATGATTCTCAAACCTTTTGATCCCAGGACTCCTTATAAGAAGATAGTGAAGGTTTATTCGTTTCTATATTTAGAAATTAGAAATAACACATTTAAATATTTATTTAAAAATAAGATTAGTAAACCCACAAATCAAGAAAAAAGCACTTTTGTGATAAATAACTTTTCAAAACAAGTATTTTTATGTCAAAGGGGCACCATGAATAACTCCCTGAGCCACCAGAGTGGCCTGGTCCGAGCCAGCACAGCCACTCTCAGAGAGCCGGTAACCTGGTCCAAGCCAGCACAGCTACTCTCAGAGAGCCGGTAACCTGGTCCGAGCCAGCACAGCCACTCTCAGAGAGCCGGTAACCTGGTCCAAGCCAGCACAGCTACTCTCAGAGAGCCGGTAACCTGGTCCAAGCCAGCACAGCCACTCTCAGAGAGCC